GTAATAATAAGCAAAAGAAAAAAATGCTACCTCAGATTCATCCTTCCCCTCCAAGAGACTACAAACTTTGGAAGGCCTCAACCAGAACTAGAACCAGAGCCAGAGCAACCTGGCACGTCCGTGGACATGGCGTTCCCATCTTCTCCAGCGGACTGTGCCGATGCCGCCTTAAGAGTGCTCGATGAGTCCTGCACGAGTGTGCGCGGCCTAGCTTGTCAAGTCTGGCGCCACCTCCGTCTCGGCCGTCTAGGCGAACGTGAAGCCCGTGCTCAGAGCATTGGTGATCAACGTCGGTGACCTCTTGCAGATGATATCTAATTATCGGTGCAAGAGCCTAGGGTTTCAGTCGCCCTCTTCTCACTACAAGAAATGTGTTGGTTTATGACGTTTATGGTAACATTTGATCAAAAGGTCACTAAATCAGTTTGTTTATGACGTTTGCTTTGGAATCCTTTTAACTTACTGATATAACTAAATGAACGTCACAAAAATGACTTAAAGGTAGTCAAATTCCATAGTGACAATATTTTTCCCGTCATAACACCAATTGCAGCCATCATAAATTTAGGACAAGGATGGTGTGTCAAAAAATATTTTATATGACAAGGATGGTGTGTCATAATTCTTTTATTATTTTTTAAATATTCTTGTGAAAGATGGCTTGTAGGCCCAACTGCCACCTAGTCAAGTGGGTACCACGTGCATATTTTTTTTTCAAATTTTTCCATGTATTTCGTCCAACTTTTTTTTGCCCAACCTTAGGCGCACAGCTAGCCCAAGAGTCCTCCAATGGAGTGGGCTGGCGTGCTCACGCATCCTAGCTTTAGGGAGTGTTTGGTTCCACCTCCTAAAGTTTAGTCTCTGTCATATCGAATGTTTGGACACTAATTTCGAGTATTAAACATAGATCAATTATAAAACTAATTGCACAGATTGAGACTCGCGAGATGAATCTAAGTCTAATTAGTCCATAATTTAACAATGAGGTGCTACAGTAAACATGTGCTAATGATGGATTAATTAGGTTTTATAGATTCATCTCGTGAATTAGCCACGGCTTCTGTAATTAATTTTATAATTAATTGGCTCATATTTGGTCCTCCTAATTAACATCTGAACATCGGATATGACAAGGTCTAAACTTTAGTCCCTAATCTAAACATCCACTTCAGCCCACATAGGAGCACCTTCTAAAGGACCGGCGCACGCAGCAACGCGCAGCCCATTCAAGCCCATCCTTGCTAAAAAATGGCCCATATTTTGTTCTTGGCCCAAACGCGCGTCCGAACTCCAGTATATCGTCCCATATTTTGTTCTTGGCCCAAACGCGCGTCCGAAGTCATCGGGTCGGCCAGCCCATTAGCAAGTGGACGACGCACATGCGTTTTTATTTCGTCATGGCCCAGTACACGTCATCTGGTGCGAAAATTATTATTATTAGAAATAGAAATATAAAAAACTCCGCTGACAGAGGGAATCGAACTTGGGGCAGGCGATTCAGAAATGGTGGCCTTACCAGTGTTGATGGTATGAGATGTAGTGTATTCTAAGAATAATGCTGGCGAGTTCTAGGCTGAAGAGCCGTGTCTGTTGGCTTGTCTACGGATTGCTTTATGGGTCACATAGAGAAGCTATAAATAAAGAATTATAGAAATGCATTGAGGATTTATCTAATACCATAGAAATTCTTCGTTACTTGTCCCTCTCGTATAAATTAACAAGATTTTTTTATTTATTTCTTTTGGCATAATATTTTTCGTGAACTGCTGCCACCTAAAATGTGCCACGTCCCATCACATACGAATCAGCCGCCACTGCTTATATGGATCTCCACGTGACGAAAAAAAATTGGGTGGATCCCGTATCCACCCAGAACCCGTGCATACTTCCACTAGATGGAGGACATGGTCCACGTGACTCCACCCTAACTACAACTTATGGGTCTCCAAGTAGCTTTTTGGTTTCGATGTCGTAAGCTGCTCAAACTTTTTCTCGAGCTTGTGCATACCACGGGATGAGAGAATGCTAAGTTTTAAATTTTCTAGAGGTGCTTTGCTATTTTCTTTCATTTAAATAAATTTATGCGCGGTGGGACGTCGTAATTGTAGGTTGAATTGAGGCTACCCTAGAAATGATTCGAAACGGTGCCAAATTTCTACACTAGGTCTCACATGCCCCAGGGTACTAGTTTTGGTGGAGGTGGATGGTAAAATATCTTATTTTCAACGCGTAACTCGCCATCCTTTCTTGATTTTACGATAAATGAATTCAATAATTACCTAATTTGATTAAAAATATAAGATCCGGCGTGGGGCCATGCTCTGGGCCTTCATGCATGCAGAAAAAGTTTCAAGCCATTTCGACACCGACGTATTGTACATGCTTCACAAAGTCCATGTGCCATTTCGAAGAACCCTGACTACAACTTATGGGTATCCACGTGACTCGTTCACTTTGATGTCATAAGCTGCTCAAACTTTTTCTGTGCATGCCATGGAATGAGGAAACGCTAAGTTTTAGATTTTTCGGAGGTGCTTTGCTATTTTCTTTCATTTAAATGAATTTCTGCCCGGTTCTACGCGGCGAGATGTCGTAATTGTAGGTTCAACTGAGGCTACCCCAGAAATGATCCGGAACGATGCTAGATTTCCACACTAGGTCTCATATGCCCTAGGGAACCACTTTTGGTGGAGGCGAATGGTAAAATATCTTATTTTCAAGGCGTAACTCGCCCTCCTTTCTTGATTTTATCGATAAGTAAATTCAGTAATTACCTAATTTGATAAAAAAATCTAAGATTCAGCATGGGTCCATGCTATGGGCCTTCATGCATGCAGAAAAAGTTTCAAGCCATTTCGACACAGGCGTATTGTACATGCTTAACAAAGTCCATGCACCATTTCGAAGAACCATAACTACAACTTATGGGTATCCACGTGACTCGTTCGCTTCGATGTCGTAAGCTGCTCAAACTTTTTCTCAAGCTTGTGCATGCCATGAGATTAGGGAACACTAAGATTTAGATTTTTTAGAGGTGCTTTGCTATTTTCTTTCATTTAAATGAATTTCTATACGACGGGACGCCGTAATTATAGGTTGAACTGAGGCTACCCAGAAATAATCCGGAACGGTGCCAGATTTCTACACTAGGTCTCACATGCCCTAGGGAACAACTTTTGGTGGAGGCGGATGGTAAAATATCTTATTTTCAAGACATAACTCGCCCTCCTTTCTCGATTTTAGCGATAAATAAATTCAGTAATTACCTAATTTGATAAAAAAAAATCTAAGATTTGGCGTGGGGCCATGCTCTAGGCCTTCATGCATGCAGAAAAAGGTTCAAGCCATTTCAACACCGGTGTATTGTACATGCTTCACAAAGTTCATGCGCCGTTTCAAAGAACCCTAACTACAATAAGTAACTGTATGAGAGATGATATTATTGTTTTTTATTGGAGCCAGTAAAGTACAAGTTTGAGCAATCCCTAACAAAACACTTAATGTTCAGGCATGGCTCCTTAATCAATACCATGTAGTTCAGTTCTGGCTTCCACGTGCCACCTCGCGACAGGTCGGGATCCAATCTCTTCAGCAAGAATACATGAGTTTTGGCCAAAACAAAGCTATTGATCTCACCACAAAGAAGACACAATCTATTATATACATGGATGCTATTGATTATACAAAGAGGACAAAAGCTATTGATCTCACCACAATAGTTAATTAATTTATTTTCATATTTGATTACAATTAAGTCTTTATATTCATGTTATTATAATTTATTCATTCGGACCCAAACTATATCGGTGCTATTGAGTAACTTGTTTCCATAATATTGAAGGACAATAAATCCTAGTTATTTACATTATTTATGTAGTCACTAATCATATCATAACAAATAGGGAAAATTGCGTTCTTGCCCTTGTCTAGTACTCCAATTGTGATTTTGCTCCTATTTTTTTAACTTTGTATTTTTGTCCTTGTTATTTCGAATTGAACTGTCCGTCTGCCCCTGCTTTGGATGTCCGTCAGATGCCCATTGAATAGATGAATTAAAAAAATTTCCAAACCTGAAAAGAAAAGTCCAAATGCCCACATTGCCCCTTATCCCTTTCTCGCTGTTTCTCGACTCCACCAAGACACCGACCGCATCGGAGAGGGAGGGAGCGGGCGGCGCGGTTCCAGGCGGCGGAGCGTGCGGCGTGGGTGCGGTGTCTCAAAGCAGCGTCGGCATCAGGGTGGGCGGAGCAGGTGCAGCATCGGGGCGATGTGGGCGCGGAGAGGCCCAAGACGCGGGGGCAGGCGTCGCGACATCAGGGCATGCGGCAGCGGTGCCTGGCCGTGGCTATCGGCGGCGCCTGGCGACGTGGACATGGAGCGGGCCGGGGTGGGTGGAGCGGCATCAGGGCGGGCGGAGCAGGTGGCTCCGGTGCCTGGACATGGCTCCCGGCCGGCGCCTAGCCGCGGCTCCCGGTGACGCCTGGCAGCGGGTCTCCACGGCGCCCGTCTGCGGCTCCTGGCGGGTCTCTTCTCGATGTGGCTCGGGGCACCCGCCTCTAGTTCTTTTGCCCCACCTTCATTCCAAAAATCTTTGTTGATGTCTCGACGTGGCTCGGGTCTCTTCTCGACGTGGACCTTCATTCCAAATGCAGGCTCTTCTCCCCGCGTAGCCTCCTCCCCTCCTTCCTCCGCTCCTCCTCCCCTCGTAGGCTCCCGTGCCCGCCTCTTGCTACCCCACTAACGGCGTCGCACCCGGCCACCGATGGGGCCGCTCCGGGTGTCGTCATGTGCCTCATGGGCCTGGAGTCTTGGCCCGCCACCACCACCGCCTAGACCGCAGAAGCAGAGGAAGGTGGAGGCGTCGTGTTCGGATGGCGCCACTTACTCAGCGGTCGTGCTGGCGCTACCTACGACCCGGAGCCGTCGCCCTCCCACGCCCGCGCACGCGCCGACGGCGAGGAGCCACCTTGGGGCTGACTTACCGGCTCGTGCACGCGGCCATGGCCGAGCTGCTGGACCTGGGCGCGCGCATAGGCGCCAGACTGGCACTCGCGTACGCTTGCTCTTCCCCGCAGCACCGCAAGGATGGCCACGCCGGTGCCTTGCTTCATGGCTCATCGGGAATGGCTGATGACTTCCTATCTTGCTCTAGCAGCTTGCCCTTGGAGCGTTCCACACGGCTATAGTTACAGCCTCCTAGTCTTCCTGCGGAGACAGATTACGACACCACTGCTGTCTCACATAGGGACGACCATTGTTCCACCAGCAATGCTGATGCAGCGATCAGTACCAGCACGGTAGTGTTGCCTATAATGGATTTTGGTGATGAAAACAGGAGCAAACGGGGCTCTGATATGGAAGCCAAGCACAAGGAGAGTAGAGTAAGAAATGAGGTAATGCGCACTTATGCCAGGGTTAGATCAAGCAGTGCTGCCGTTCAAACTGGAGATGAGAGGTTGTTGAGGAAACGGGCAACACCTACTCGGTCGGAGGTTTCTGGGATTACAGAGTCTAGGGGCTTGGCTGATTCGACGCGCCTAGTTGGACACGCTCTGCCACTAGGAAGGTTGCACACGGTGGTTCTGGTCCAAGAAGAGAGTTCATGGGATCGATCACTGGACAAGGGAGCATGACCCATAGGGATTTGAACAGCCAAAATGGATTACCATCCACAAGTAGGATTTCAAGCAATGGATCTGCGCTTAAAAGGGGATCAAGAAGGAAGGTGGGGAATGATAGGGCAATCAGTCACAGGGAGGATAGAAATGCAGTTGCCTTTACTTCTAGATCATCTACAAAGCCAGTGGCCAGAGCTTCGTCGCGGAGCAATATATCGAAGAGTGGATCCCTAAGTAGACTAGCACTTGATACAACTCAAGGACACGGGTTGCGGCTCCTGAAAAAAGATATATGGAAGCTTCACCATCTGTTATGTCTACTTCTGAGAAAGGTGAAATTAGCGGGCTGCTGAAAGCAAAAATCAATGAGCTTGGCATGTCGGATAGGATTGAGTGCACACATGATTCACCTTCAGGAAAATTGCCCGTACCTTTCCTGCAAAAGCTGATTTCTGCCCTTACAAATGACACGAGCACTTCCATCTCCCAATATAGCAACCTTTCCTACAAAAGCTGATTTCCTACAAAAGTTGCAATGGAAATGTTGACTTCGTCAATCGAGAGCATTGTATATTCTCCAATGCTCAATCACCCAATTTTTAGAAATGTATCAGGTCAGTTTAGAGGCCAGGACCCTTCTTTACTGTTAGTCTATTACCACTCATTATTTTAGAACTTATGACTTGTTGTTTCTGTAGTAAATGTTGCTATGGTCTATCATGATGATTCACAACTGTCTTTTTATTCATGTCATTCTGTTTTCCAATTTGGCTAGTAAATACATGGTGTCAGGTTCATAAACCTAGGGTCCCTCGGGGACTGGATTCCACGCCAAGGCTCGACCCAAGTAGATAGCACACAACTCATGGGCTGGCCCAAGAGTCCAAAACAACAGGCCAGAAGGGTGGTCCAGCCACCGACCGGAAGGTCTGGCTGAGGAGGAACAATGCTCGCTCGTCGACTACTTTGGCCCACCTCTCTGACCGGAGCGCTCACTTCGGACTCCAGCCACCTCCGGACGACCTCTCCGATCAGAAGGCCTGGCCCAAACACTACTTCTGACTCTGACCCCGCACTCTCTGACCGGGGATACACCAGCCCCTGCTCACCGCTCTTCTCTAACTGGCGCGATCAGAGCCGACTGGGATCAACCGACCGGGGACGCCTGCTCGGTAGGGACCAGGTGAAAGCTCTAGTTTGGTTTTGGGGAATTGATGAAACCCTAAGTGCTAACCTAGTTTATCAAGTGATCATGAGATAGGTAGCACATTCCAAGTGGTGAAGCAAATGAAGATCATGACATAAAGATGGCGATGCCATGGTGATGATCAAGTGCTTGGAATTGAAAAGAAGAAAGAGAAAAACAAAAGGCTCAAGGCAAAGGTATAAATTGTAGGAGCTATTTTGTTTTGGTGATCAAGACACTTAGAGATTGTGATCATATTTAGGTTTGATAGCCATACTATTAAGAGGGGTGAAACTCGTATCGAAATGCGGTTATCAAAGTGCCACTAGATGCTCTAACTCATTGCATATGCATTTAGGATCTAGTGGAGTGCTAACACCCTTGAAAATGTTTGTGAAAATATGCTAACACATGTGCACAAGGTGATACAGTTGGTGGTTGGCACATTTGAGCAAGGGTGAAGAAGATAGACGTGAAGGGGAGTTGGTCTTGCTGGTCACAAAGTGACCGGATGTTGGTCTCAGAGGAACTAGCGCGTCCGGTCAGTTGTAATAGCGAAGACATTGGCGTCGGTCAAACGACCAGACGCTAGGTCGCTCAGCGACCGGACGCTAGAAGGCTGTGTCCGGTCATGTTGACATGGCAGCACAGAGGAAGACACCATGTGATCGGACGTAGGTTGTGTCCGGTCAAGCATGACCGGACGCGTCCGGTTGGGAAAATCGTTTCTGGAAGCTTACTAGAAATGACCGGACGCTGGAGGTCCAGCGTCCGGTCACTGTTAGCTGCTGCATCTGGTCGTCTTCTGACCATTGAGATCGGGCGCACAGCATTTGAAGAGAGGGACACGTGGCGTGCATCGCGTGACCGGACATGGAGGTCCAGTGTCCGGTCAATCTGACCGGTGCGTCCGGTCGGCCAGTGTTCTGTGCAGTGAGGAGCCCAACAACTCTATTTCCTGGGGGCTTCTATTTAAGCCCCATGGCTGGCTCAAGCTCACTCCCTTGGCCATTTGCATTGACATAGCAACCTTGTGAGCTTAGCCAAAGCCCTCCCACTCATATCCATCATTGATTCATCATCTTTGTGAGATTGGGAGAGAATCCAAGTGCAGTGCTTGAGTGTTTGCATCTAGAGGAACTTGGTATTCGTGTTTTGCTGCGGGATTCACTTGTTACTCTTGGTGGTTGCCGCCACCTAGATGGCTTGGAGCAGCAAGGATCATCAAGCGGAGGGTGGTGATTGTCTTTGGCTCCGATCGTGGTGATTGTGAGGGGTTCTTGACCTTTCCCTGGTGGAGAGCCAAAAGGTACTCTAGTGGATAGCTCATGGCTTGTGTGATCCTCATCTTGTGTTGGTTATGCGGAACCCTATTGAGGGTTTGGCGTGTGATGCCAATTAGCGCGTGAACCTCCAAGTGAGTGAATCACCACAACGAGGACTAGCTTGCCGGCAAGCAAGTGAACCTCGATAAAAATTCATTGTGTTCATCATTTGATTCCAAGGTGATTGGTCTTCATTGTTATTCATTCTTGTGATTGATTGGATCCTTCCTCGACATGGCGGTATAACCATCTTGCTCAATCTCTTTACATTACCGCAAACTAGTCATCAAACTCTTTAGTGTAGCTAGTTGTGAGAGCTTGTTAGTTTGATTAGTGTGGCTCCTTAGTTAGCTTTTGAGAGCACACTAACTTAGTGTAGTGACATAGCTATTGTGTGGATACATACTATATAAACTAGAATTGTGGTAGGTGGCTTGCATTTTTAGTAGGCTAGCGCAACACTTGCTTTGCCTCATAATTGTCTAACTGGTTTGCTAAATGTGGTTGTAGAAATTTTTATTAGGCTATTCACCCCCCTCTAACCATTAGGACCTTTCAAGTGGTATCAGAGCCGAGGTCACCGTGATTTGAGGCTTAACAACCTGCGGTGTAAAAATGGCTCAAATTAACAATACCAAGAAGCCACCCCAATTTGATGACATAAATTATCCTTATTGGAAATCAAAGATGACTACACATATCAAGTCAATTAATAGAAGAGTGTGGAAGGTGGTAGAAACCAAAATTAAGATTGAGGATCCGGAGAATCCCACCGCGGCCGAAGAAGTGCTTCTCCAAAACAATGACATTGCTCTAAGTGCCATTCATGATGCAATCAAGTTAACCAACAATCCGGTTCAACATGCAAGAACAAAGCACATTGATGTCCGCCACCATTTCATAAGATATCACCAACAAAAAGGGGACATTTGCATTGAGAGTGTAGGCACCGAAGATCAACTTGCCGATATATTCACCAAGCCATTGGATGAGAAAAGGTTTTGCAAGCTAAGGAATAAGTTGAACATATTGGATTTCTCAAATATGTGTTGATGCACCCCCCACTTATATGACATGCCTCTCCTTCGAGCAATCCAAGGTAAAAGATTAATTGGCATGGCATACATCCTTGCTAAGGACTTGTTTAGTGCATCTAGACATCTCTCACATTATATAGGCTCATTCATGAAAATCAAATGATTTTGATGTTTGTATGGTACCACTATTGCTTCTATGCTTTACTTGATCTAGTGGTAGCATATGACATGTTTGTGGGCTTGTAAGCCTAGTGTTTGATCTAGAAAATGAGCTCTAAGTGTTTAACTCAACATGGTACAAGATAACCCTTATTTGGAGCTGTGAAGAAGCTTGTCCTTGGATCAAACCGAGTTAACTATCTTTGGCAAATGATCTAGATTGGACCAAATTTGGAAAAATAATCCTCACCCCATTGATTGACATTGATAATCCTAACCTATCTATAATTTAAGTCTTTGTGGTCATTGATGAAAAAGGGGGAGAGAAACAAAGATATGAGTGATAGGGGAGTATTTGACATAGGGGGAGAGATATGATAAAGGTGGTAAAGGAAAGGGATATGATAAAGGTGGTAAAGGAAAGGGAGGATCAATTAAAATTTTGAGCACACAAGTAGGGGGAGCAAGCTCATGAACTTGTATGGTGCATTTGAATGTGCATTTCATATATTTGCTTGCAAGGCACAAGTTTTAAATTTCAATATCCATGCTTGTGTGGTGTATGCTAGTTGTAGGTTTGAATGATGAAATGAAAATCTAGCATGCATAAGTTTATCTAGTAATTTCATTTCCAAGTGTTTCCAAGTGGTATAGAGCTAACCATGATGCTAAGGATGGTATAATGTTGCACTCCGATTGGTATCACGCTTCAAAGGTCCATCTTTTATACCTTAGCATTATTTGGTAGACATTGTCTCCTATATTTCCTATCTAAGCATATGTGCAAGCTACAATCCAAACTCTTAGCACATATGTAGGGGGAGCAATCGCTACCATTTGGGGTTCATGAAACTTGTCCATATCCTTTTACACATGGTAAATATGCTTGGACAAGCAACATGTATTCAGTAGAATTTCAATTCATATCTTTGTGAAAGGGTTGTCATCAATTACCAAAAAGGGGGAGATTGAAAGCTCTAGTTTGGTTTTGGGGAATTGATGAAACCCTAAGTGCTAACCTAGTTTATCAAGTGATCATGAGATAGGTAGCACATTCCAAGTGGTGAAGCAAATGAAGATCATGACATAAAGATGGCGATGCCATGGTGATGATCAAGTGCTTGGAATTGAAAAGAAGAAAGAGAAAAACAAAAGGCTCAAGGCAAAGGTATAAATTGTAGGAGCTATTTTGTTTTGGTGATCAAGACACTTAGAGATTGTGATCATATTTAGGTTTGATAGCCATACTATTAAGAGGGGTGAAACTCGTATCGAAATGCGGTTATCAAAGTGCCACTAGATGCTCTA